CATTTTTCGGATGCCTCATTTAAGTCATTGCAAAAAAAAAGGGTATTGGAAATATACGTAAGAAAAATGGTAAAGTTTATGATTTTATTCCTACCAACATTACGTACCGTACATGTGTGATTATCGATTCAAAGCTTGCGCATCATCGACCAAGATTTATTTGATTTTCGATCTCTGTTCTTTATTATATAATTAATTAATCGACTGAAACGTTTTGCTTAAAAGTTGTGTTTATAAGCTTTCGATACAGAGAAATTGATAAATACGCGATTTGGCCTATTCTTAACAATAATAAACAAACATTTGTTTATCGTTAGTCTGAAACCTCAATTAGTAAATGGTAATGATGCACGTAATAAATATCGTAATTGATGGATAAAGAAAACTATCGTAGTGTAGAAAATCTAAACAGATTTTTTTTGAAATGGAATAATACCAAGATCCACAATATCATCTCTTGTGTAGCAAGGCTTTTGTAAGGGAGGATACCTTATACAGGTAATAAAAATGCCTTAATCTGGTAATCGCTGAATTTTTAATTTCAAAATATTTGTTTCTATGTACTCAAATGAACTGATAAAAGTGCCATACATAATAACTGAAGAGATAACTGTGTTCTTTACTTGTGCATAGAATCTTTTAAGAAAGATGCAAATCGATGCGCGTTTTTTTTTATCGCGGAACACAGTTACGTTACTTGTTCATTCTTCCAAACGAGGAATCAAAAACATTATGAGATCATTATGTAAGCGTTAAGTAATTTTAAGTAACTCGTTTATAAAGGTAACAGACTCTAACTTTTTAGAGTTAGAGTCTGTATAGTTTACATAGTTAAAAATACGCGAATGTGCATAGAATCACATGTCAATTATCTAATTGTAATTTTACATCCCGAATAATTTAAGCATCTCAACAACAGGAAATATCGTCTGCCATCATTAATTTAAACATCTTCGTGATAAAATATGCAGATGGTATTGATATTTCGATCTAAATTTCAAAATGAATAAATTTATTTCGAAATCTTCCTGTGTGCCTTTAACAAAGACCTTTTCAATTTGATGCTTAAATGTATTTTATTATTCCTAAAATCTTTTGATTGGTCGATAATCATCTACACGGAAATTTAATTTGTAACCAAAATAATACAATGCAAGTCATAAGGGAATTTATGTACGGTAGATCATCTTTAAAAGAAATTTTACTTGACGTGATATTAGACAATTATGACGTATTTGTTCCACCGAGAATTTATCACTTTTTTTCGAATAAAATATACTTTTTTTTATTGGGTGATGTTTTTTCGCACCCATTTTGTGTCACATTCATATTGGATCTAGACCTGAATCTAGAACCCATGGCAAAACTTTTTTTCATATATAAATAACAATGCTGCAGACTTAAGATTTAACATTAATAATTTTAATCGTCGTATTCCCTTCAATATTAACTTTAATTTTTTTTTCGAAGATTACGCATAGGGATAATTTTAATTAGCTATGAACTCACTAATAGTGTTATTCATTAACAGATAATGAAACGTGTAGTTAATGCATTAAAAACCACGTATGGAAAACAAGTCAGAGTACACAAACGTTGATTCCCGCGCTTACATTACAGATGGCCTCGTATCTAATCTTGATAAAAAACGATATATGCTTTTTAATAGGCTTTTTATTAAATCATTAACTCTTTCATAACCAACTTATGTTTAGCATAACATTATAACGACAACGATGATTATAACAATAATAATGAAAATGATTATTATTTGCCTTGGGAAGAAGTATGGGTTGATTCATAAAATACTAGTTATTATGTCATTTTACATAACGACAATCCATGTAATCACATAATCAATTCTTTCATTAATAACGAAACTAATATTAATAATAATAATAATAATAATAATCGGTGAAATATCGTACCTGCAGCAAAAATTTAATACGGAAAATTTTCTATTATTTAATATTTTTGGGGAATTCGCCAGCATGGATTTACCGCATACATACATATGCTTTGCATACATTTATTTATAATTTAAGCATTCTCGGAAAAGCACATTTATTACTAAAATGTTACTAATATTCGTTGGGAATTTAAGTTTTCCTTGCCAACAATTCGTCAGATTAGTCATTATTATCTATAATTAATTTCTCACCCCTCACAAAAGGCTCTCTTTATTTCGTCATCACACCAGGCAGGCTAAACTTATCTTTTATCCAATTTCAAGGCATTATTTCGTGTTCTATGCCATTACTAAAGCTTACACGATTATTACATACACACCTGATGTGTTGTCTTTGTATGCATCAAAAATGATGGGTAAAGATCGCATAATGATTGAACAGATTTGGGTTTATTAACTTCATTATTTTTGTTTGTGGCTGCGTGTACTCTCCCGTTTTAAGATTAAGTTCCCATTCTTGGAAGCTTTTTTTTTAATCACGCCAGGATTTACTGGTGATTCTCTTTCCGAAGTCATACTTTAAAATGTATGTGGCAAGATATTCATTCATTGAAGATGTGTTCATCGCATGGAACAACAAATAGATAACGAGGGTTTCCCATTGTTATTTATTTGTAGTGGTTCAAGTAACGAACGTCTTATATTATTAATTAATCTCACTTTGATTTAAAAGAAATAATATACATACATAACTTTTCATTACTATTGTCTGGGAACCAATACACGGTGAAATCTCACGCCAAATTGGAATTTAGCTGGTATTCGAATCAAGTCTTATTCAAAATACAATCTAATTAATTACACAGAATTTGTAATTGCGGTTTCCTTCACAATTGGATAAATCTGGCTTAAAGCAGTCCCAGTTTATCGAGATTCATTTTGTACATCATTAACAGAAAAGCTGTCAATGTATTACGTTATCCAGTTTAACCTATAAGTTTGCTTACGTTATTGATTATGTAACAAAACGCGTTTTGAAATAATAAAAAAATCGATATTTGTTTATTTATGTTTGTACTACTAATGAATCCACAAGATTATGGCAAGATAATGGTACATATTATTTTACTATATATGCCGAAATTGCACGTGCTATTTATTCGATTCCATGTTTAGTTAGTTGCGATATAACCAACTTTAGCGGCAAATAGACAGGGGTTGTCACCCAAAATTCTGTCTTTTTATAAGTACAAATGGTCCAATTGACAACACTGTAAATGAGACTAATGAGATTTCCATGAAACCATCAGTTTAATTAACGAATAATAGTTACTTAAAAAATTATACACTCAAGAGAAAGAGAAATATAAAATAGAAATCGATTATTCTATCGGCGTCACAATATAATAAAAATTACATACTTAATCTATTTAATTCATATTTTAATAATAAAAAGAATAATAATAAGCCATCACCCGAATCACTTAAAAATGTGACGCTTCTATTGATTAGTTAATGATAAGTTAAATAAAACCCTAATCCTACTTTCATCAACAGTTAGAATCCGACTTTTATGAAAGCTTCACGCAACATGTTAATGATGAACAAATGAGAACCAAGCAGATTACTTTAATAAATCTGCTTGACGGCCTCCCAATGAATCAATCAATATAACCTCGATTCAACGATATACTTTATCAAACTATCCATTCTCACTCGAACAATAATTTCTGTCAGAAATTTATCTGTTCTAAAAAACTTAGTACAAAATTATTATATAATTCTGTAATAATCCTGTGCTAATCCCGTTTAGTAGAATGGATTCATAATTGGGTTCCGATAAATTTATCACAATTTCAATTCTTGAATCAGATTGAGCAACGTCGATTGAGACTAATTATTTTTCGATTTTATCACAAACAATAAAGGAAACATTTTATTAATGCACTGAATCGGTCGTCGATATTCAAATTTGAACAATCCCCTATAAAACGCTCATCATCGCTATCAACATCGCTAAATATACGGTTCTTTTTTTCAAAAAAAAAGCTTAAATAGGTTGTTTCGCCTTTCTCACGAAGAAGAATACACTGCTTTATTTCTTTCTTCTCAGTTAGATAGAAAGTGTTTTTCTCGCGTATTAGAGTCCACAACTAATAATCTAAATCGTCTAAATAACAGCTTTATAATTGTACGCATCTATCATTCATATATATATATAGAGGAAGAGGATTAATGTAGATATAGAAGAAAAACTTCTTTACTACTATCTAAAACATATTTTTATTAGAGGCTTTTAAACATTCTCGATAAAGTATCGCATTCAGGTAATTATATTTTTTTTTATTCACGAGGGAAAATCGAAAAAGCACATTTTCGTTGACTAAGAAATAGAAAAAATAGAAAAAAAAATGAATCAAAATAGTAATATTGTTATGACGATTCAACGTGCTCTTTTTATCTCTGTACGTTGGTGGGCCTTTTTTTTCGATAGTCTCACCGATTATTTATGCTTACATCAGCCATATATATATATATATTTATATAAGCCAATTCTAACATAATCCCTTTATTCAACACGTCCCTATTGCCCCTTCACAATGATATGTACGTGTGTATTATATAAATGCATAAATCTTTAGCAAAAAATAATTATTCCGATATCCTTTATAAATACGGCGCTTTATAACAAATAATCATTAATGCAATTTTTTGATATATTTCTCAAACTATAACGACGCCAAGACTACGACCATTTATTTCGGTCAATTACCTTTAAGTACGAGTTGTACTTATATCTATAGCGACGACAACCACAACAATTATAACGAACAACGACAAATAAAAATAACAACAACCATAAACAACCTAACCACATTACTAACAAAAAATTCCCGTGTCTGGTGTCGCGCGATAGGGAAATATATTGATTTACCAACACTTTTTTTCTATCCAAAACACGTTCTTTCTTTTCCCTTCCCTATCTTTTTTTTCTTTCACCATACACATAAATTTTATCTAAATCTTCTTCTAACTGTTCCGCGTCAAGCCGTATTCTAAACATTTTCGTTATCTTCTTCCGCGACACACAATGAATATTTGCGATTTACTGAATCATGACGAAAGAGAAGAACAACAGCAACAGCAACACTGGAATATTCAGAGTCAACAGGAGCAAATGCCAATGATACATCATCGGAATCTACCAAATCCTAATCAAGCGGGAGGTTATCACCATCTTCATTATAATTTTACTAATAACCATGCTGAAATTCAGCATCAGCATATGGATTTTTCTCTACCTTCATATAATCAACAAAATCCTCGTTATCGACAGCAATCGCAAAATTCATTGTCATCGACAGAAGAAAGAAAATTACATCAAGAAACAGCAGAAAGGATTTTACGATTGTTCGTTTGCCCTGCTTGTAATCGATTATTCACCGATCCGGTTACATTGTCATGTGGAAATACATTTTGTCGGAATTGTTTCAAATATCAATGTCCTGACATCCATTGTGGACGCCGACATTCATTACTAGAGACACGAACAGATGTCACTGTGTCAAAACTTACTGAACTATGCGTGTCTCAATTATCCCAATTTATTCCAACGGCACAACATCGTCGATATCTTCGTCATCTATTACAGCAACAACAATTTCAACGAAATTTTGCTAATGACGATGATGACCGAGCTTTTATCTATCTTCAAAGACATTTTGAAAACGAAGAATCAGACGATGAAAATGACCGCTTAATGCATAACAATGGTATTAATGGTCCTTTTGCTAATTCCGGTAACAACAGCAATGACAATAATTTTATCCATACAAGATCGAACTCTGCATTTGATGTGACGAGGACAAGGCCTATTACTAATAATTATAATAATAATTATTATTATAATGATAATAATAATAATAATAATAATAATAATAATAGTAATAGTAATAATAATAATAATAATAATAATAATAATAATAATAATAATAATAATAATATAAATATTAGTATAGATAATCGCAATAATAATTATAATTATAACAGCAATAACAACCACATCAATAATACCGGTTCAGCAACAACAACAACACCAGAGACCGAAGCATTGTTATCACTGAATCTGGCTAAGCTGAAACAATCAATATTATCAGAATTAGATTGTCAAGTTTGCTATTCTCTGTTGATTGATCCAATTACAACACCTTGTGGACATTCATTCTGTAAACCTTGCTTGACGAGGTCATTTGACCATAATAAGACATGTCCAATGTGCCGACATCAATTACATATCTCTTACACTTTTTTAACCAACCATCCGGCAAACAAAACAATAACCTTAGTTTTGGAATCATTATATCCCAATCAATATGAGGAAAGACGTCTAGCTGTTGAACATGAACTTTACGACACGATGGAGGATACACCGATATTCGTGTGTAGCTTGATCTTTCCAAAAATGCCTTGTTTCTTGCATGTATATGAACCGAAATATCGATTAATGTTAAGAAGATGCTTGGAGTCAAATCAGCGTCATTTTGGAATGGTCTTACCCGAAAGGAATGGACAAGGATATAATGAATATGGTACAATCCTGGAAATTAGATCAGCTGAATTCCTCACGGATGGCAGAGCTCAAGTCGAGACAGTGGGTTTATATAGATTCCGAGTATTAGAACGAAATCAAAAAGATGGATACAACGTAGGAAGGATAGAAAGAATTGATGATATTGATCCTGAAGAAGAGGATGAGCTTGAAAGGCGTGATTTAGAAGCCGCAGCAATCAACAATTCAAATCCTGCAAACCCACCAATGAACGAACAACCAACCGCAAGATTAATAAGTTTAGCACGTGAATTCATTGATAGTCTAAGAAATGGTGGAGCTCCGTGGCTACTACAACGTTTGAATTCCACATATGGGGAGATGCCAGATGATCCAAGTGATTTTTCTTTTTGGGTCGCTAGCGTAATTCCCATCGATGAATATGAAAAATCTCGATTATTGGAGTTAAGATCTGTACGCGAACGTCTAAAGATTATTAATCTATGGATTACACAACTTAGAGAACAGTGGTGGTTTGCACGCGGATGTTGTGTTTCATAAATATTTAACTAGGGGAGAGCATTATTACGTTACGCGTCACGATCAATTCATAAAATGAACAATTCCTTTTTCGTAGTGTAATTTCTTCAAGATTTCAATTATGCTTGCTATTGAATATTTATCTTCATGAAACGACAAATGCATAATTGTTATAAACATATGACAAAACAAAAGTTTAGAGTTGGTCAGATGTGTATATAAAAAATAAATTTATTTGTACTTTTGAATTTACTCATTTTATATGTTTGTATTATATCGATTTATTTTTTTCTCAAGTAATTGATTATTTACTCACCGTCCCTTTGATACATTCAATTCTTATTCATTTATATAAATTTAGAAAATTGTCCTTTCACATGTCAGTCAGTTATTTAAGGTCAAGATCAACTACAAATAAGAAATATTTAAAATTTCTCTAACATACAAGAAATCCATTAATATAGTAATTTCACTTCAATCTAAGAAAAAATACATTAATCGAAATAACAAGCAATTTTCTAATACAATCGCTAATATTTTATCACAAAATTTGGAAATATTTCCTCTTTATTAGGCAGTTTTGTTGAAATTAAGTTTGTTTCTCATTATTTATAGTGTTATGAGATGATGGATTTGAACCATTTTTGTCAAGCGTTGTTTATTTCTTTAAGTTTGTGGGAGTTTTTTTAGTCGTAATTTTTCAGTTGTTCTCGGCTTTATACGATACAAGTGAACTCCAATATTCACAAAATTGAATGCAGACAAATCTTACAAAAATTTTTATCATAAAAATCTCGTAACATTGTCCATGTAATTAAAACATGTGGATATTCAAACACTCAAAAAAGGAAATGTTATTTAAACCTATAATAATCGGCGTGGTAACTATTTAATAAACTGTCGCTAGAACAGTTCGTATGCCGAAATGATCAAAACTTATATTAAATGCTTTTTTACGATCTATCATCTTCGAAACTACTGATGTTTTCGAATTTCTCCATTACTTTATTATACCAGTGAACTAGTTCTGATGCTATCACCTTGTCCTTTGATTATGGCGCAGTATAACAAAGAAAGACTGTTGATAGCAGAATAATAAGTTTTTTCTATTGCCTACCCAGTTTTTTTGTCTGTAACGGAAGAATCGTACAGAAACGGAGGAAATCACAGATTGGTCAATGTCGCCAACTGTATGTTAGATGTTCCCTTAAACGAATGGACAGATAAGCAGAAAATTGCTTGAGATGCTTTTCATTATGGCACCAATAGGAATGGAATACGAAAGTAGGAAAATGGCACAAACTAGTCAACATCGTACTTTCGATGGATGATTTCTTTTCTCGTCTTATCAATTAATTCATTTAAAGTAGCAACAATTTTATCGTAATCTGTCGGTTTGTTTCTATCTCCTTCCTGCAAACACCCTAGCAATGTCTTTGAGTTACTCACAACATTTGGTGTTCAACGAAATAAGTTCGAGTTGTTTAACCTTCCTCCAAATCAACCCGGTTTATTTAACCCGAGTTTTAAACCGGGTCGGGATTATCACTTAACAACACGAGTCCTAAGACCGTACGAGTCAGGGTTATACCTTTGTGCTACTTGGGTGATCGTTTGGATAAGCCGGGGTTATCATATCGATATGCGATGTAAATTCTACGAATATATGTGTCGGATATTTTTTGTTTTATGTTTAAGTGACTTTGATTTCAACTTTATTGTAATGAATGATTCCGATAATACATATATTAAAAAACGAAAAGCTACGTAATTTAATATGAAAAAACTTATCGAGAAGTCAGGTGTCTCAACTGTCCATAAGTATTTTAAATATATATACATGTACGATAAATATTAATTAATTGTCCGGAGCGGACTATATATTATTCTGCGATATGTGAAAAATGATTGTCACGTGGGATTTCCGGTTGTCACGCCACGTGACTGGTTATAAATAAACAAACCAATTTATCACTCCATACTCACCATTTTCTAGTTTGAATTTTTAATGTATCATTAGGAAATGGCGAACCATTTGAGCGATAAATTTTTTTATTTATAACCAGTCACGTAGTGTGACAACCGGAAATTCCACGTGACAATCAATTTTTCACATATCGCAGGATAATATATAGTCCTTCACTTACGCTCTGGACAATAAGAAGACATTGCTTAGTAAATTTGGGGATTCCAATATAACAAATTTCTGGCGTCATCTAGAGTATCATCATCCAAACATAAATCCAGAGTAAAAATTCAGATCAAAGTACATGTACATTAGACGCAAAATAGATGCGTTCAGATAATTAAGTAAATTCTTAAAGAGGAATCGATAATTGAGTATCGTCCTTCTTTTTTAAATGGGCTAGAACTTGACGTCTTCAGATATTTACTCGCATTGGAGGTGCAAGGAAGTCAGCACCGGTTTCATAACACTGGTTGGTATAAAGATGTCAAAAAGTTCGAGGATATCGTTAACCGTGATCGGAAAAAAAGATGCATATGTCAAGACAACGGAATTTTTCTTCTAGAAGTGTAGTACTATGAAAATCCAAAAATTGTTATTATATTCAAATAAGAAAAATAAAAAAGAAATTTATTTGGCCGGAAAAAATAACATGATTAACTCTTTCTTTTATATGTTTGTAGCAACATTAATGCTATTAACCCCGCTTTTCTTTCCATTTGGGTCTGCGAGATCAAGACCACTTAGTTTTTTATTCTTTCCTGGCCATCTTTTGATTTGTAACTGAATACTTTTTTGGCAAACCTCTACCGAGTTCATTTCAATAATCCTTGGGAATCTCAGCCTTGTAAAATGTAACATAGGTAGAGATAATGCGAACAGGATATAAAACCTGGTCAGAAATATCACCAGTCTCACGTATATTTTCATCTCCGCAAGCAAGTATTTCGTCAACAATTTGCATTTTTCCAAATCAAGTCTAGGGTCAACATTTTGTAAGGTTTTATCCTGTCATAAAAAACCTATTTAAGTAAATCAAAGATATTGACCAGCCAACAACAAAAAAACACATATTTCTACAATAATCATAGAAATTATTCCCTTAATTACCACAAAGTTGGGTTTTGCCAAAACATAAGGTTTATTGAAGATATGTAGTTTACATGGTAGTTGTCTGATTTTAAAGAAAGAAAATTTAGGAAGCCATTGGAATAAGGTAATATGGCAGAGAATTTCTCACACTATCTATCCTCCAAAGGATAACCATTCAGTCCGGTAACACGAAGCAAATCATCAACCAAGGCATCAATGCGGGACTCGGGTATTTCTGGTGGGTTTCTCGTGACGATATGCGGTTTATTAAAAAATGTTCGAATGAAAGAAACGAAAAATCACTTATTTCTTGAACTTTAAATCCTGCTTTGTCGAGCATGTCTCTGTTTATTTTGGAACAGACGTACTGTTCCGGAAATTCTTCGACCTTCCCATTAGGAATAATGTGATCTTTGGATGCTGGTTGAAATTTTACTCTCAATGCTTCTAAATCATCTTTCATAAAATCATTTGCTCGAATATTGATGTAATTCAGTTGATTCTGTTTAAGCAGGCGCAATCGAAGTGGAGACGTGGGTTTCATGATCAAAAATACCCCAAGTGGGCTATATATGAGAAATTGGGTTTCACGAAAAAAACATATATTGTCTTTTTTTGATTGTGCATTTTATATCACAGCCAAATATTACAGTATCACTTTCACATGATACTGCATATTAAAATTCAACCCAAAGATTATGTAATGTGGGTATTCTAAGTAATGAACATAAATGTAAAACGTAATCCAAAATTGTGAACGTTCACACCTTCACTCTGCATTTTATTTATTTCGTTATTTAGAGTTAAAATGGCTTGTTTAAATTTTTTTTATAGTTTGGTCACCCGAAGTTGGATTGGGTTAGGGTTGGAATGGGCATCGGAGCTGGAGACAAATTTCTTCGAATAAATATAAATAGAATTGCAAGTGAAAAATATATTGTTACGACAATTGTATAAAGCATCTCCATTATATCCCCCGCTTATATAATTCGTGGATCGCGATCACGACGATAAAATTGATAACAGATGAGTTGTAAGCTGGAATAAATATTTTTTATTTATGTCATATGGATCAAATTACAATAAAGTAATGGATTATAACTTTATTGACATGTAATAGTATTTTTCGGGCAAAACATTTAATTCATCAAATAGACAATTATGTATATTACATTGGTAAATTTTATCTTTCTTCCTCATTTATCGATTCCATATGAGAGCGTGGTTGACTACCTCCTACAGCATGCATACTGACATTACTTTCGTTTCACGATAAGGGTATATTTGACAAATTAGATGATAGCATCTCTGCGAATGGGATGCAGAACGATCCCTTTGGTTAGCAGTGGATTCACGACGACTTGGCATTGATAAAATTTCCTCACGATGGTGGGGTACGGTTACGGCATCTTTCTTGAGCACGTCTTGTGGCAATGTTTTCATTATGAACCATATCAAAATGGCGTTTCTATTTCATATCCAGTAAAAAATTAATATATGATGTATAATTCCAATACCTTTATCAATGACAAATGTTTGATTTATAGCTTACACAGTGTCTCTCAGAAGAGTTCGAAATTCCTCAAAATATCGTTCATCAACTTTGCTTCAACGTCTAGATTTATTCCCGCCCATATATTTGACACACTAACTAATACGAATTGAATGTGAGGACGATTTGTATTAAATGATATCCCATTATACTTATATTATGTATGATCCCTCACGAGATTTTGGAATTTCAACTTGCAATTATATCCTGTGTATGTCGTTCTAAATCGTTCATTTATTTTATTCGCAATGTTATCCCAGAAATCCATTATTTCCAACGATATCGTGATATTCCGAATTTCGATTTTTTCGTTCATCGACTAACAATCTTCTGTCCACATGTTTAAGACAAATCTTAATACTTTTTTTTGAATTTTGCTTATTATTATATAGCAAAAAATTCAACAGTACCTAGGTCGAGTCTTACATTGCAAGTGGATTCAGCTAAATATGTGTCAAAAAGACACTAACTTCGCTATTATAAGGGATTGTAAAACATAGAATATGGTTAACTCGAATTAGCATTATATCTGAAATTTTGGAAGAGATATCGTAAGTTATTACAGCATTGATTCATGATTTCATTTCGGATAAAATTCTCCGTATTATAATAATTTTTTACCGTTAATAAAATTTTTTATACAGTTTAAAGTACTTTTTCGAGAGCTTGTATAACCAATCTCGATTATGAAATGTGGCTAAGCATTACTTGAAGCTTTCGCACTGTATAACATCAAGTAAATCCCTTTGAATCCCGCAACTTTATATTATATTTACCTGGCAAAGATATATCTGAAAATAAGGAATGTATAGAATGCAAAACCACTATGTCAACTAAATTTCATTTATTAGAGGAGTAGAGGTAACTTGGATTGAGAATGATATTTTTTGTAATATTTGCTATATGAATTTTATAGAAAATTCTTTAAAAAAAGAATTCAAAGAATAAAAATTATGAATGAAAAAAATCTAATAATAAAAGATTTACATTTGAAAAGAGGTAAGTTAAAAATTGAGTTTACTAAAGTCATCAAAAAGTAATGGCAAAAATTCTTTATGAAAAAGAACATGTAAAGAAAGACAATCCTATATATGAATTTGATAGAATGTGAAGATTATTTCAAGATATTGAACCAAGCCTTAAGAAATTTTTTTAATCAACTTTATTTAATAACTCAATCACTTAATTGCAATAAACAAATAATGAATTATATAAAAAAGAATAATATTACTTATATATTATCTTCTTGTATTATTAAATAATATTAAAATTAAAATATGATCCATTGCAAAAAATTTGATACATCAGATAAATATTAATAGATTATTTTTTCAAAATAAAATTTTTAATTCTGTCTCATTTAATTAAGTTA